TAGGTCATATCTATGGGCCGATTGACTTGTGTAATGTTTGTGCATAATATTTGTTCCAACAGTTCTAAGAAGAATAAGATAATTTGCAACATGTTGAGCACGTTTAAACTCAAAGTACTACTCCTACTTTTATTGGAGAGATTCTGCTTGAGTGACTGTTCAACACATGCAAGAAGAAGACAGTAAAAACAGGAAGCTGGGACTCAAGGATGACCATGACCACTTGTAGAAGTAAAAATTACTGTAACAGTAATTAAGGGGAGAAAATCTGACAACTGACCCCTTTATTACAGGGTGACTGTTTAATATGGTGTCACTTAATACAGTTTCAACTGTCTAATGATCACCCATTTCATAATGAAATAGATGTGCTTAACTATTTTTTCTTTTGTAGCACTAATTACTCCAATAAAGAGGAACATTTGAGAAAACATTAGACGGAATGCATCTTCTTTAATGACCAGTACTTTCAGATGGCTTTAAAGTTAGAACAGACAGTATTTACCTGTCAGTCCCGGTCTACCATAAACAACCTTGCTTGATTTTGTACATAAGTCGTATCGTTACACTTTTATTCCAGTGAAATGTATCATTCTTGACCAAGAGCATAATAAACATTAAATTAGCCTGATTCAAGTAAGAAAGTTTCTGAGGTGAATTTGGGAGTACAACTTCTTAGAATGGACATTACTTCTAAAGTAAACTTGCTACCAAGTCAATGGTTGCATACACAGTCACATACCTGGATGCATTTTGTTCCATCTTTTCAATATGTTTTAATCTCCATTCTTCATTCCAAACACTCTAATGTACACCATCCCTCATAGGTTGCGAAACCAACGCTGGCTTAGTAACCAGCTCACACTTGGTGATGTCATCAGCTCTTTCTTGTGTCAGAACAAATTGATACAGCTTGTGGTTTTTAAACAATGCCATGAAAACAAAATCTCTCACAGACTTAAGGATTTTTTCACAGGAGTAAAGGGCAATTCTGTTGAGCTGTTGTATAAACAGTGTTATAGCCTTCTCAAGGGGTTTGCATAATTAAAACAAAATAGTTATTGGTGAAGGTTATACCCAAGGCAGTGGAGACAGCATTGATTACAGCATTACAATTGTCTCTTTGTTTTTCACCCTCCTGAAAATACAGTTCCTCTATTTTTATTGTGTTTAATTCCACTTTTTGATTTTACTTTTGTGCTTGACAGTTGGTTGGTGAACATCATTCTTAAGGTAGAACAAACATATTTAAGTTTGGAAATTTGTTTGCCTTTTGGAATATTGAAATGTTACTTTATTCTTCCAGCCCTCATCCTGTCATTTCCTTTTACAATGAATCTCCCTACCCACTAAAAATTTACAGCACCATTAATAAACAAATGGCATGCATTGAAGAATCCCTTGTAAATTACCATACTCAGACTGGGTACATAAACGAAACAAAAGCAAAAAATGCTGTAGTATGCTAAATGTGTTGAGTTGACTTAGAGCTCTCCAGTCTCATGCATTGGGTGTGAGACTCACGCAAACAAATTCATTCTTACACTCTCATGCTAAAGCCATTATTCCTCACTCCTATAAGGTTTTGCATTTATTCTGTTGATTTTGAGATAGCAAACTGCTGCTTTCATTAAGAACCTATAAAATTATCCTTCCAAATATAATTTACTCATTGTTCCCTATGCACTCATTTTGCACACTTCTTAACAGCAAAAATTCTCTCTCAGATTAAAGAAATGCACAATTTAGCTATTTTATTTTTTTACAATTTTCCAGGGGAACATGCCCCCATACCCTCTTCCCTTTTCCACCCTTGATAGGTGATGCCCATGAAATCTTTCTCTTTGCCAGCATGGACTTGAGAGCTCTAGTTGACTTAAACTGCATTGCTACACAAGTCATAAGATTTCACTCTCTAGAAAAGTATACAGGATGGTTTATAACTAATCAGTAGCTTAAGCATTAAGTCTTGGAATAAAAAGGGAGATTTCTGTCCAATATTGCTCCAAACAAAACGCATAGATGACTCAACAAAGACTTAATTTAGGTCCGCAGAAAAATTTAAAACATGGACCACCTTCAAGTCCAAATCTATCGATTAAATCTCCAAATTTGCAAACTCAGATCTTACACAAGCAAAATAGTAAGCGTTTGAACAAGATCTTATGTCATACAAGAACTTTGCATTCTGTCTTCAACATTCAACTACATAATTTTTTCAGCTATAAGATTTTGGTGACATATTTCTTGCATAGGATCAAATCGTTCGTTCTGAATACGACAAGTTCTAAATTTTGTAGGTTATATTTTGTACATGTCAATAGCACAAGACAGTGAATGAGTTTAGACAGTGTGGGATAATTGTACAGAAAGTCAATCACGATCACAAAGAGAAAGGCTGATATGTGGCTAAGGTAACAGTGTTTAATACCGTAACCAGACCTGTATCCATTGTAAGATAGCACATAACACCAGCAGCCACAACGCTCATCGATCGACGAATTGAAAGCTAACCTTGTACTTCCAAAGCAGAGTCACTTCTCGCCATGGAATCCTTTGTGTACAAAATAAGCCAACATGTCATAACGAATATCAAGAAGTATCCCGGGCCTGAAATCATCTTCTTCCTGAAGTTTTGAAATTAGTAGGTCCTTACCTAACAATTTCTTTCTTTCTTTTACGTCGGTAGCATAAAAGACATTTTGAAAATCTCTTTATCTAGCGCCCGATTCGGTAGCCATGTTCACACTCATCATTTGACATGTGTCACGCACGAATCAAAGTCTCCGACAACGAGAAGTTAGTTGCGTGACAAGAGCAAGAACTGAATTTGCTTTGGTGGATTTCTTTTTAAAACGTAAATAAAACATACCTTTTTTGTTTGTTTGTCAGATGAAAAACGAACACGTGTCGGTTGGCTTTCTATCCCAGCGCTCGAAATAAACAATTAGATATTCTTGATTCTCATTACGTTTTTAAAGTCCGCAGTCAGTCTTGCTTAGAGTCGAGTTCGACGGTGCACCAAGATTCTATATTCATGACCTCTTTTTTTTCCCTTTTCTTAGTCTCCAGCTACTTTGTTGCTGTCGGTGAGCATTTCCTTCAAGACTGAGAACTTTATGCACCAGAAATCGTTTCCATGGAAATGACGCTTAGTGGCGGAATCTCCCAAAGAGGCCTGGTGTCAAAGCAGAAGGCCTGGAAGATTTCTTCTCACAATTTCATGCCTTTTTGTCACTGAACTTCTTCGGTTACCTTTTGCTTGCTATAGCTTTCAGTTATTTGCAGGAGATTATTTCTCTATTATTATTATTTTGCAAAGGATGTATGCGATTTATAAACAAACACACCCTCCGACAGGAATCGAACACTGCGAGTACTGTCAATTATTTTTCACCAGCTGAAAAACAATCGTGTTGTGGCAGGAACATCACAGCTTCGTATCAGCGAGTTTTATACCCAAGGCGAGGTAGGAGACGGGCTCCGTGAATCGTTTAATGGGGACTTCAGTTGTTGTACTATTGAAAATATCTCGCTCGATATCAGGTGTAGACATAAATGCACTATTATCTGAAAGCGAAATTCCCTAGGCAGTTAAACTATTTCCGATGTCTCTTTTTTCCCTAGTGGTTAAAGGTCTTCTCAGGCTGTCTAGTTGGTACCCAGAAAAGGATATATTGTTTAGGAGGTCAAATCAAAATACGTATATCAAATTTCAAAACAAAATGATTTGAGGTAAACAAACAACATGGCGGCTGAGGGGCTGGCAAAGGGAATTGACTATCGTTGGTAAATGAAATGGCTGTTTTCTCACGCTTTATTTATATGCCTTGGTATTAATGCCTTGGGTCTCTACCTTCTGTTTAACTATTTGGTAATGTTCATATAGCCTTTGGCAATTAATTGTTATTGAACTTTTTTTATGTATGATGTCTTCATTTTAGCATAATTCAACAGGATCAGCATCATCAGACAAGACAGGAGGTCAGTATTTACTTAAGGTATCAGCATTTACTTGGGTTATCAAGGGTGAGATGTACTTGTAACAAGCTTTCCTAAGTTAACCTGTAAACAACAAATAAATCAGATTCCAGCCTCAAAGAAAAGCACCAGATTTGGAGAGTAGAAAGTTGCTCAAATATAGGGAGGAATATGATGAATATTTCTTGTAACTTAAGCTGGCACACTTGGTGATTTTTAACACTGATTGCAGCAAATTTGATCCCCCCAAAAAATGACCAATATCTGACATGCTGTAGAGATAGAGATGTTCTCAAGCTTCCATGTTATTACTTCCAGGTAGTTTAATTTCAATTTTTAATTTTTTTTTTTTGGGGGGGGGG